TTAGAAGGTAGACAATCCTAAAAATCCAGGGGTTTACTTAATTTTTAATGATCATTTTACCAAGCATTTACTTTTTGTACTTCATGTGGGCTTGTAATTTGGACAGGAGAGGGAAGGCTTTTGAAACTAGTTAAACTGGACTTAAAAAAAACACACAACTACAATGACACCTGTGTTGGTTCAGATCCCATATTAAGGGCAGAAAAGAAAATATAGCCAAGATAAATATTCAGGAAAGTGCGTTAGAATTCTGAGGCAAAGATTTTTTAACAGAGCTTTCCATTTGCCTGAAACTTCTGTTTGTCAAGAAGAATAGTATTGAGTTGGAATTCCAGATCTACCGATGCTTTCACACAGTTGCCATATCAATATTCTCTACAACTACCCATCTTAGTAGCAACGCACGATGAACAAGAAGTCATAAATCAAAGAAGATTTCTTTAAAGTAAAACAACACAATAAAATTAATATATTTTTGTCTTTAAAAAGTCTTGACACTGGTAAAAAAAAATGGCATATTTACTCCTCTGTTCCTCCAAAAAATAGATTCAGGATGGGAATAACAAAGTATGTTTGCCCTCCAAAGTCTAACTAATAAAGAGTACGTTTTGTAAAAAGTTCTCTCATCAGCAGGTAAGATTTTTATCAGTTCTATCAACGTTCTCTAATGGAAATGCTTGTTAAAAAAAACTGGTAATATTTTCCCAACCAGCAAAAGAATTTCCCTTTATAACCACTGTATCACAACCTGAACTGGAAGTAGGGCAAGAATGAGGTTCAGTTACCATGCTGCTTCACTCTGCTGAAACTCCAGACAAGAACAGTAATTTGTGCCAAAAGTGATTCAGAGATGAAAAGGATCATCACTTAATTACATACCTGCTCAACAGCTTGTAGTTACTACCATACTTGCACTGAACTTGCTCTGCAACCACCACCACCTTGTCTTTCAAGTCTGATTCATATTATTCAGTAACTTCTTACATGTCATAATACTGCTCTCAACTATAACAGCATCTGAGCACCTCCAGCCAGCCAAAAAGACAGCGTTAAGAATGACAAAGGATGATGCTTCCCAATTTTATCAACACGGAAGGCGGTTTCAGCAGCATATAATTGCATGCATTTGTAAAGATTCAACATTTTTAAGTTATACAATATATTATTTTCCTGTAACAATTGTATTAGTCTTTTTCTCTATAAGAAAACAAGCTGTTTCCCCACTGTAATCAAATTAGAATGAATATCAAGTGCTTTGTTCTAAGATGTTGAGTTTTGCACCTTCAACACAGCAATAATTTGCATGTGGCTAAAAGTATGATACTCTTCTTTAAATAAAAGAGTGACACACCTTGGGCTAGATTAAAAAATAAGTGTGTAGTCATTGGCTTGCTGACACACTCAGTGAAACCATGTGTCATAATGTATTTGAATACGTTCTGCTACCTAATGCCCTCAGAGGGAACTTCACTGCGAAGTGCTCAAACTATCTATACTCAGAAAAATGAAGCGGCCAATGTAACTATAAGAAACTTTTAATATAAATTTATTACAGGACAAATACCACCTGAAGTATCATTCAGCTATGCTAGTATATTCTGCTTACATGCAAATAGATATAGCCTATCACTGATCAAACCACACCAGACCTAAGGAATTTCTACAGCATCTCCCTATTCAGCTGAGAATGTAGCAATACTGTGATTCGATGTTAACACTAGAGGACTGAAAGCCAAAAGGCTGGGCAAATAGCATTTGCTTGGCCTCAGGTCAATGAATAACACACGCAGCATCTTTCAAACAGCTTTGTGATATCAAAGGAAAAGCATAAACAGATGATCCCTGAATGGAGAGTCTGCATCCTACATATAGAGCCAGATTACCATGGTAAAGTAAAGGAGAGAATGAGCAAATTGTGTGTCACATGAAGCATTACAGACAAGAGAATGGTATAAGAAAGGAGAACTGACAGCTCAGAAGTTATGGCATTAGAGTTTTTGGCACTGGTAAGGCCTCACCTGGTATAGCATGTCCAGTTTTGGGTGACACATTTAAAGAAGAACATGGGCATTTTGGAAAGACCACAGCACAGAGCAACAAAAATGCTTAGGGGACTGGAAGGCAAGACTTGAGGAAAGTATGAAACACCTATGATTATTTAGCCAGGAAAAAGATGACTGACAGGGAATTTGCTAAAAGTCTTCAAATACATGAAGGGTGATAACAGAGAGAATGGAGATGGGCTTTTCTCCATGATCAGAGCCAACAGAACTAAGAGCAATGGCCTCAAGCTGCAGCAGAGGAAATTTAGGTTGGAAGTTAGGAGGGACTTTCTGACTATGAAAGGGGTCAAGCTTTGGAACAAGCTACCTAGAAAGAGTGTGGAATCTCCATCCTTGGAAGTTTTCAAGAGCAGGTAGGAGACACTGGCTGGGATGGTTTAGTCAGGGATGATCCTGCCTTGAGCAGGGGGCTGGACTAAATGACCTTGTGAGGTCCTTTCCAGCCCTATTTTCCTATGATCCTACTATTATTATTCCTCCAGTTTCATTAAAGCAAGAGCAAAACAGTTTTAGATAGAAGTATAACTTCAGACATTTCATCAATTTTTGTCAAAATAAACCAGGATGAATCTCATAACCAAAGAGTCAGTACCATAAAGATACTGATGAAGTTTGTAATAGGTTTAATTATAAAGGATGGAAAATAGGAATTTTTTACCTAGATCACGCTAAGAAAATAATCCTGGTTGTTAGGCAGTGCTTAGTGACATGCCCCCAATATCAGTAAAAGCAGAACCCCCCTGCTGGGTCGCTACAACCAAGCATGCATCTGGAAAGTGAAAGAGAAGCAGCAGCTTCTTCCTTAGACCCTCCTCCTGCTGCTTCCTCCATAAGTGCACCACTCCATGAATCTATTTCCCAAATCTAGAACAGCTTATCAGTTCCACTTTTCTTGCACTGAACTCCAAAAGACTTCATAGCTCCTTGGAGTCATGTTTTTCCAGAACGGAGAACAGAACAGGTGGGGAAAGAGAGCGCAGAAGGCTCCTAATCAAGCAGTACTAGGAACCAATTCCTCCACAGTGTTTGCTTATGGATTTCTTTGAATTTATTCTTTATTTTTAAAGTGAGAGGTAAACAAATGAAAATGAAAGTATTACACATAATAAGTAATTATTTGGTCCCTGTTTTGAAACGGCATTAACTGTACCCTTTGAAAAAACCTGTAAGGAAATATATATTTTAATGATGATCATAAACCTAGGAGATCTTGTTTAAAAGGTTTTCTTTTTCCAGGGCTAAAGTTATATTACACTATTTTTATACCTCAATTGAGACTCTCGGTACAATTTCTAGTACCATAAAAACTTCACTATAGAATCTTATTTCAAAAATTTTAATTTTAATTAAAAACCCCCTAAAAATCTGTTCTTCCCAGTGTAGAGATAAGAATAGTTAAACTTTTCACAACTTGGGTAACTTCATTCATATCACCCAAGTTAAATGAGCATTTTTAAGGGAGATTATATAGTCCCTTGTGAGAGGGGAGGTAAACCCCACCCCCCACCCCCAACGTGGCCACAGACCCCTCCCAACAAGCACTGATACTTACCACAGGGAAAGAGACAAGCGGCAGCTGCGGGGAAATGCCCATGCAGGCTCGGCAGTTCGGAGCTGCCTGAGCCTGCAAATCAGCGCGCTCTGGGGGCGGGGCCATGGAGCAGCGCAGGCTACTCAAAGAGCAGCAGGAAGAGAAATCAGCGGGAGAGAGCGAGAGGCACAGCATGACGGCTGGGAGACACAGGTGGCAGAGCCAGGTGGCCCCAAGCACAGGGAAGGAAGCCCGGCTGACAGAGCAAGGGATCCGGGCTCTGGGAGCCAAGGATCGCTGGAGAGCTGCAGCGGGGAGAAGTGGTTCTCCATTACCAGCCCGAGCTGAGCCACAACCACAGCAGGAAACTCAGGTACTGCAGCAGGGAGGGACAACAAGCTATGGCTTAGCCCCGTGGACAACCTGGTGAAGAGGGAGGAACAGGCGGCAGCCGCATCAGAGCCCTACAGAGAAGTGGCAAGTACCACCAGATGGTGGGACCAGGAGTGATTAGCTCCTAGTCAGAGGGATCCTGGGAGTCAGAATCCTGGGTGCCTGTTGGCAGACATCGAACACCTTTTTCAGTTAAGAATTAGCCTAAGTTTCTGTTATCCCAGGCCGGGGCAGGTTTAGTTTACCCAAAAGTTGATCCAGAGACCAGGGATCAACTTGAGAAAAACTGACAGTTGGAAAGGCCTGACCCAGGTCAAGGCAAGTAATGTGAATGAGAACAGATCAGTCCAAGGATGACCGCAGGAAGCAGTGTCTTCCCAGGCTGTGGATGTGGTAAGGGTGGGGTAAAGGGGAGGTTTGGATCCCCATGAAGAAATACCAGGGTCAAGTCCCCTTTTGGGACCACCGACAGTGAACTGCCTCCCCATCAATCAACATAAAAGGCATGGCAGGCAAATAGGGGCAGTGCCCAAAACCATCTAGGTGGCCCCAGGGTGCCGCCTCACCCTGACGTTGGTAGGGAACAAGGTGCCGACCAGAAAAGGACCGAAGCCTTACAACACCTACCAGCAACATCCCTTTACAGGATATCTTATTCTCGAGCAAAATGATTCAGAAAATATTTCTGAAAAGGTTGCCTAAAAGGTTTTGGATACGTAGTATCAAAACATTACAATATTAGACTCTCTCTAATAGCACTTTTCTATTTACTACATTACCCAAAGAAAAAATTCACTGCAAATTTACTGTGCCAGGCAGCAGTATACCCAGATATTCTGCAGCTCCTGAACCAAAACGTTCACATGATGCTATGGGCAGGCTAATTAGCCCAAATGCATTGCTGTACAATCATAACTACACTGCTTCTTGTAGCCCACATGAAGCAGTGTCATGTATTTGAGAGCACTGCTACCTGGCACGGTAAGTAAAGTATTTTCCCCATAGAAACTTACCTTGAGATTTGATTAATAAATGGTTTCAGTTCTAAGGGATCATAGGCACGAGCAAAGGCCCAGGAAACATAGCATGCTGCATCTCTCACGTTGGAACCCACACTGCAGGCTCCCCTCTTCTCATCATATGTCAATGCCTTTAAAATCACAGGAACAACTGTGAAATAAGAAATACACAAAAGAATTAGGACTATTATAGCTAAGGAAAATACAAAGCTACTCAATGTTAAGTTTTAAATGAAAATCTATATGAAAAGGTGCATATTTGCTTATGTTTAGTAAAAATTAACAAAATGCTGCTCTCAGTAGATATGAGCTATTATTTTAAAGCTAATTTAACAAACAGGGATTTGATTTAACACAACATTTGCTTCTTGCCTCATAGCCTATGTTTCTTTTCTTACCCCTCTATATCTGTACTTCAGTGATCTCACACCCAAAGAAAAGTACATAGAAGGCAACACCCCAGATTAGCAAAGATTTAAAAAGAATGTACATATATACTAATGTGTCCTCATAAGGAATATCTTGCACTGTCCCAACCGTCCTCCTAGAAAGAGCCTATTGAAAAAATGAAAAAAATACAGCAGGAAGCTGTTACAAGAATAAAAGTACTTGAAATTTTTTTCATCTTCTTACATTGCTGACAGACAAACATTTGATAAAAAATATTTATACATTTGGGAGTCTTACCCTCTTTCCAAAAGAAAAGGGCACAAAAATTGCTAGTCTTAAAAAGTAAAATGCTCCTATAACGGCAACAGCTTTCAAAATATAGTTCCTTTTGAAATTTCAAAAAACAATGTGCATATTTTTAACAGTTCATGCAAACTATAATTCAAAAATAGGTGCTACAACAGGTAACACGGATTTTTAGTTGAGGCATATAAAACAGGAGGCATTCTCCATTTTGAGCTATGCTGTCAGTCTTACCTGAAACCATCCATCACCACCCACGCACTGTAGTAAAAGTCACCTGAGGTTAAAATAGTACATGCCTGAAAATTTTGCCTTGGGACACCTTACATGGGACAATCCTCATACTACTGAGGTTACATTTTTTGATCGGCTGGTTTTGAGGTATGTCACAAATCAAAGACATTTCAGCTTGATATTACCAATGCTTCAGTGACATAACTGACTTCTTGTAGCATTTCAGCACTGGATAGGATACTCAATCAAGCTATCCAACCCTTAAGAGTAAACACAAGAAACAATGGAAAACTTTATCCACTTTTAGGAAGCATCATTTGTGCTAGGAGCAGAGGGGCTGGGCAGAATCAGTGGTGCATGTGGTAACCAAAAGCAGCTACAGGACAACCAGGGGTATATCTGGCAAAGCCCTTACATACCTTCTGACACTGATGGCCACGTCAACTGGGCCCAACTTCAGCGGTAGGCCAGACCCTCATATTCACCCCCGCAACTTCCAGTAGGCTACCAGGATAGAGCTGCTCTGCAGGTCAGATCTGGCCCAGAGACTGTACATTTGACATCCATGCTCTAAAGCTACAGAATTACTAAAACTGATGGCAGGCAGCCTTACAAGGAGGACATGATACAGATAAATTCTACATTGTACTTTTCTCTTCCTACCACTAGACTTGCTTAGGTTCAGATTTAATTATCTGTTTTCCATCAAAATACTGATTCAGCTAGATTCTAAAGGCGCTATTTACTTTTACTATAAAAATGTGGAACTAGGGGCAGTTGTCTCTTGCTGGCATTTCAGTTCAAGTCGCCCCCGTTCTTAAAATTGCTTCGAAGAAATATCGACCGTGAAGCAATCAATTAAGTCTTGTGGGAACCACTCATGAGGATTCTGACGATCAAATAAGTTACCAATGCCAACTTGTAAAGTGATCCATGATTCTTTAGCTCTAATAGCATAGTATCTTTTCACTCAAGCAGCATATAAGGAGGACACAGAAGTATCTGGTGATTAAATGGCAGAGGGATCTAGCAGCATGTATTTTACCCTTTATTTTTACATTTATAGAAGCTATCCATATATATATGGATGTACTTATATTGTTTACAGAATGGGGTGGTCATTCACAAGGCTAACAAGTTTTGTCTTGCTATCACATTCTGGCAGAGATATTCAGGACACTGGCAGCTAACAATTAGGAAGCTGTCTATTGCTAGCTTCTAAATTAGCTTCACTAGAAAAAAAAGAGGTCGACACAACACAGTATTTAATGAACTCTCTGAACTTCAGTGATGGGAATTTTGGTTTTCTGGTTGTTGTTGATTAACAGACAAATGACTACAAGCTTTAAGTCATGGAGTGGCAGATTCCCTTAAGATCCTTTTCCCTCCACTGTTTAGGAAGGGCAGGGAACAGTTACAAGTAGCAGCTCAGGAGCTCAGTGCTTCTGTTACAGACTGTGGGAATGAGTAAAATTCTTGGAAATTTGATCCAAAATAGCCTGATTTTGGTTACTCTGAAGATAACTTTTACAGGGGTTTTAGGACAAGAAATTGCTTAAGAACAATTCTGAGGAAAGTATAGATTATAGGGATGCTGAATCAATTATTCTTGTAAGCAGTACAAAACTACTGGTGATTTCTTCATATTTATGTGTGGCTCTAAATAATTATAAAAGGCACTCACAGATAAGTAAGTGCCCGTTTGATCCGTTTTTATATATCTAAGGGCCCCTCTACATGTGCAGAGAAAGGCACAATGAGATCTAATTCACGATTCATACAATCACATCTCCTGTCATGCCACATATGCATGGCAGGAAGTGTGATTGTGGGATTACATATTAGCTCCCGTCGCACCTTATCGCTGGTGCAGGGGGAGCCTGGGATCACCAGCTCCCACAGCTGCAGGCCCCATAGCTGACAGGGCTCAGTGGGCTTGCTTGGGGGGCAGAATTCCTTTCATTCACCCTGCTGCAAGCCCCATAGACAATGCGGGCTGTGGGGCCCACAGAGGGGCCAGCACCAGGAAAACTGCCCCCACTGAGAGCATTATCAGCTGACAGGCTCGCAGTGGGGCTTGTAGCGGAGAGAATTCTGCCCCTGCTGTGAGCCTCCTGAGATGTGGGGCTTGCAGTGGCAGCAGCGGGGAGAAAGTGGCCCCTGCTGTGAGCCTCAGGAGGTGCAGAGTTGTAAGCAGGAGCAGCAGTGAGAATGCTGCCACCACTGCAAGCCTTGTGAGATGCAGGGCTTGCAGTAGTAGTGGAGTTCCCCCATGCTGGCCCCGCTGCAAGGCTCAGAGAGGGGGTGGCAGGGAGAACACTGCCCCCACTGGGAATCTCATCAGGTGTGGGGCTTGCAGCAGCAGCAGCATTCCCCAGACAGGACAGCCTTTAAGTAAAAATCTAAGTTTCAGGGCTTGAGATCCCCACCACAAGGAAATCTGGAAACGATTATGCAACTTTTCTAAAATGTACTGCTTCTGCATTATGTATAGGAGACAAATCACAACGCTTGGACAGTTCACAGGCCCTAACTCCCCCATTCTCCAGGACAAGGGAAGCTTCTGAGTTCCTCTGAATGAAACCTTTCACACAGTTCCAGTAACACACTGACAAACGCTGTCAAATATATAATTTTCCCTGGCGGGCTTCCTTTTGGCAACTGCAGTAGTATATTTTAAATGCACGCTTCCCTAGATGGCATGTAGCTTAATAAACTAATATTGCCTGAAGAAAAAACAGCCTCCAGGGGAAACAGAACTAAATCTAATTCTCAAACCTCTCTGTCACATTAGATTTACAGATAGCCCTTTTTCTGAAATAAAAACATGGGTCTGGAGATCTTTACATGGATCAAGCAAAGTATTTGGTTGTTTAATTATCTTTGCATTTACTTGGATAACATGAGGAAAACTAAATAGTAAATAAATATCAATTAATAGCTAATTATTTTAAGATTTAACTTAAATCACCACTGCAGAAAAGCCACAATATTGGGAAAGGAATATGTTACATTTTAAAATAAAACTGATTTTCATCTGCTAAACAGAACAAATATAGTCAGAATATTTATGGTGTACCCATTATGCCCACAAACATTATATAAAACCATTATACTATTTCTATTCAGGGGAAAATGGTACAGCAAAGATGATATTTTGGCATTTTCTTTACCATTTCTGAAAAAAATGCAGTAAAAGCTTTAAAAAAATGCAGCCAAACTTGTTTTGAAAAATGCTGCATTAACTGGTGAAAAAATAGAATTAGCTGGTTCTACAGGAATACTGAAACAACTCCCAGAGGCAGTTTTACAAACCTGCTGCAAATTTCCTTCAAAATAGATTGATTACCCTAACTAATTCAGCCACTTGTGGTAATATGTCCTCTCCTTCCATCTCAAGGAGAGTCTTAACATGGTTCTTCAATACCTATAATATATAGAGAGAAAAACTCAGAGATTTTAATCTGGAAAAATATGCAAATAGTTTCAACATTGGGCAAGGTGCGTGGGGCACCAAGCCTGGCCACCAGCTATGAGGGGATGCCAGAATCTCTGGCCCCCTTGGGAGTCTTTGCCGCACAGGAGCAGCCTGCACTGCCCTGCCTGGCCACAGGAGCCGGGCAGGCCAGCACTGCACTAAGCAGCGGATCTGGGGGGGATGTGGCAAGTGCTCTCCCTGCCCCCTGAGCAGCCTCTGCCAGAGCCAGTGCCCTATACCCGATACATATGTAATTCAGGGGCAGGGGAAAAGAGGGAAGAAACAAGGTGCTGGGGTCAGTTCTCAGAGAGCCTGGCTATGGTGCTGCTGCTCTAAGCAAAGCCGATGCGCTGCTACAGCAATGGCAGCAGCAGCAGCCCACAAAGGTAAGCCTTCCCTTCCCCTCACCCTTGTCCCCACTTCCCCTGCTTCAGCAATGGTCAGCACACCTCATGCCCCAACCTCCAGCACTCAATGAGCTGACTATGCATCTGAGTCTCAGTGCTGTCACTGGAATGCTGAGAGTGAAAATAGTAAAATAACCTGCTTATGGTCAAATAAAAAGTATGTATTAGTTTATAGCAATACAGTGTAATCAGAGCTAAGTGTTTTATACTCCAATTCCATAAATCTTTCCACTTTTTGGTGTAAAGTAACATGCAATCCCACTCCAGTTCAACAGGATTATCCCTGTGCTTCATTATTAAAAGTCAAACACAATTAGATTAAGCTGCATAACAAATTTT